CACATTCCTTTATTCAGAATAGGCCTGTTTAACAACTTTCTCCTAGTCAGGACTTTGTGGGTTTGAACATGTGTTAACAATAGCATACAAGGAGAATTCATCACTTTACAAATACTGTCCCTACATACATATCACCATATTATTGACCAGTAAGTTATTAATTTTCAAATGACTAACCTCCCAAGGCATATTTTCCATAAAGATTATTGCAATAGCAAGTAAAGTGTGAATCTTGGGGTGTTTTCGGTATATAACTTCATTCAATTTTGTAGTGTGGCTTAAATTTACTCTCCATTTCTTCAGAAGAAAGGGTCCTTATATTATGAGTTGCATTTCTGTTATAAGGAATGAAAAATTAGTCATAATGATCCCTTGATTAATCTACGTCTAGACTACATGCCTCTGTCGCCAGAGGCATGTAGATTAGGCTACCAGACATAGGAAAATGAAGCGGCGATTTAAATAATCGCCGCTTCATTTAAATTTACATGGCTGCCGCGCTGAGCTGACAAACAGCTGATCAGCTGTTTGTCGGCTCAGCGCGATAGTCTGGACGTGCGGGAGTCGACATCAAAGGTATTTGTCGACCACCCAGGTATGCCTCCTGGGATGAGGTATACCTGGGTGGTCAACAAATACCTTTGATGTCGACTCCCGCACGTCCAGACTATCGCGCTGAGCCGACAATCAGCTGATCAGCTGTTTGTCGGCTCAGCGCGGCAGCCATGTAAATTTAAATGAAGCGGTGATTATTTAAATCGCCGCTTCATTTTCCTATGTCTGGTAGCCTAATCTACATGCCTCTGGCGCCAGAGGCATGTAGTCTAGACGTACCCTTAGAAACAGCACCTGCATCAGTTGGAGTGACCTAGATATATCAGTTCTAGGATTCATGAAAATATATATTATTGGTCTGCGTATGCAATTGCATAGAAGAGAAATGTTTGGATCATCAGCATGAAAGGTGCCTCATAAATAGAAGATCCTGAGTTAAACAGTAAAATTTACCCCTTCCCATGTGTAAGCAGGGTCAGGGTAAACTCTATCCTGACATCTAGTGGCAAACTGTGGCTAGTGGTGCAAAGAGACTTCAGGGGCTGAGCCCAATTTGCATAGACACACCCACCCTGTCTAGTATGTGCCACAGCAGCCCAAATCGTCACTTTGGCCACTGTGGGAGCCCCAGTCTCTCTGTTATTGAGGCAGAGGGGATAAAAGTGTTATTACCCTGATTATGCGAATCAAGGACAATGGAATGGTGGAACTGTTTATGACAGAGGGATTCGCCATAAACTAAGTAGCACTCGCTAGACAAGGGGCATGGGTTCCAAACCCAGTCAAATTGAGAGAGGTTGGGGACAGGTCTTGGTACCTGGTGGTGGGGCCCTGTCTGAGGGCCTAAACAACACTGCTTGCACTTCCTCCTCTCTCCACTGTGGAATATCAGAGTTAATTTAGATTCCATTAGGAGTCTAGTTGTGAGCGGTGGAGCTAACTTTGCTGTGGGCCAGTGCTACAAGAGCTGCAATCACTGTTGCTGAGCTGTGGACAAGAGTTGAAATCACTGTTGCTGAGGGGAGCCTGGCAAGAGCTGCAATCACTGTTGCTGAGCTGTGGACAAGAGTTGAAATCACTGTTGCTGAGGGGAGCCTGGCAAGAGCTGCAATCACTGTTGCTGAGCTGTGGACAAGAGTTGAAATCACTGTTGCTGAGGGGAGCCTGGTGCTGTGCTGCTAGCAGAGCAGTTTGCAAGGGGCAA